AAAAAAAAAAAAAAACAAGAAGGTACATTTCTTAAACAGATAGAGGCCATCAACAGCAAACCCACAGCCAATATCATATTGAATGGAATAAAATTGAAAACATTTCCACTCAGCTCAGGAACTAGGCAAGGGTGCCCATTGTCTCCACTGCTATTCAACATAGTAATGGAAGTCTTAGCCATCACAATCAGACAAGAGAACATAATCAATGGTATCCAAATAGGGTCAGAGGAGATCAAACACTCACTCTTTGTTGATGATATGATCCTATAGCTGGAAAATCCCAAGGACTCAACTACAAAATGCTTAGAAGTGATCAAGGAATACAGCAGTGTCTCAGGATACAAAATCAATACTTACAAATCAATAGCTTTTATATATGCCAATGATGGTCAAGCTGAAAATATAGTCCAAGACTCTATTCCTTTTACAGTAGTGCCAAAGAAGATGAAATATCTGGGAATTTACCTAACAAAGGATGTGAAAGATCTCTATGAAGAGAATTATGAAACTCTGAGAAAAGAAATAGCTGAAGACATTAACAAATGGAAAAATATACCATGCTCATGACTGGAAAGAATCAACATTGTTAGAATGTCCATACTACCCAAAGCAATCTACAGATTTAATGCAATCCCTATTAAAGCACCATTGTCATACTTTAAAGAGCTTGAAAAAACAGTGCTTCGTTTTATATGGAATCAGAAAAAAACTCTGAATAACCAATACAATACTCAGAAATAAAAACAAATCAGGAGGTATCATGTTACCAGACTTCAGGCCATCTTATAAATCTAAAGTGAACAAGCAGCATGATACTGGCACAAAAACAGAGAAGTAGATTTATGGAACAGAACAGAGAACCAAGAGATGAACCCAGCTACTTATTATTATTTGATCTTTGATAAGCCTATCAAAAACATTCAGTGGGGGAAAGACCACCTATCTAACAAATGGTGCTGGGTGAACTGGCTGGAGACCAGTAGAAGACTGAAACTGGACCCCTGCCTTTCACCATTAACAAAAATTGATTCTCACTGGATAAAATATTTAAACTTAAGACATGAAACTATAAAAATACTAGAAGAGAGTGCAGAGGAAACACTTGAAGAAATTGGCCTGGGAGAATATTTTATGAAGAGGATCCTCCCCCACCCCACCCACCCCCGGCAATTGAAGCAACACCAAAAATCCAATACTGGGATATGTTCAAACTAAAAAGCTTCTGCACAGCCAAGAACAGTAAGTAAAGCAGACAGACAACCTTCAGAATGGGAGAAGATTTTTGCAGGTTGTACTTCCAACAAAGGTCTGATAACTAGAATCCACAGAGAGCTCAAAGTAATAAGAAAATAACAAATAACCCATTTCTATGTGGGCAAGAGACTTGAACAGCAATTTCTCTGATGGAGACAAGCACATGGCTTACAAATGCATGAAAAAATACACATCATCCTTAATCACCAGAGAAATGCAAATCAAATCTACTTTCAGATATTACCTAATTCCAGTAAGATTAGCCCACATCACAAAATTCCCAAACTACAGATATTGGCATGGATGTGGAGAGAAGGAAACACTTCTACACTGCTGGTGGGAATGCAAGCTAATACAACATTTTTGGAAAGAAGTTTGGAGAATACTCAAGGAACTAAAAGTAGACCTATCATTCGATCCTTTAATTCCTCTACTAGGTATATACTCACATGATCAAAAATTATTTTACAACAAAGACATTTTCACCAGAATGTTTATTGCAGCCCAATTCATAATTGCCAAGACATGGAAACAGCGGAATGACCCATCGAACCAAGAATGGATTAACAAACTGCAGTATATGTACACCACAGAATACTATGCAGCCATAGAAAAGATGGAGACTTTACATCTTTTATGTCTACCTGGATGGAGCTGGAACATATTCTTCCTAGTAAAGTATCTCACAAATGGAAATTAAAGTATCCAATATACTCAGTATTACTATGAAATCAAAATATAATCACCTACACATTCATACAAATGGTAAAACATAACTATAGTCCAGAAAGTAGAAGGGAAGAAGAGAAAGAACAGAGGGGAGGGGGGGAGGCATGAGGGGAGGTTATTTGGAGGAACTCACCTAATGTGCATGAAGCAATGGTACATTTCAAAACTATTAAGAAAAGGGTATATTGTGATGGATGCGCTAATCAGTTCAATGTACACATTTTGCATTGTATATCAAACCAGTACACTGAACTCCATAAATGCATCAATGTACAGAATTATGATTTAATAAAAAAATTAATAAATTAATAATAATTAAATAAATAGTGTTGGAAAAAGTAGACATCCACATGCAAAAGAATGAAACTAAATCATTATCTCTCACCATATTCCACAAATTAACTCAAATGGATGAAATAGATAAATGTAAGACTATAAAAATACTGAAAGAAAACATAGAGGAAATACTTTAGGGTACCAGAAATCTTATGCCTAAGATCTCAAATGTTCAGTCAACGAAAACAAAAGTAGACAAATGGGACTACAGGATGTTCCATAGGTTACTATACATAGGAAAATTAACAAAATCATATTATATTTCATGTTATATTTTATATTTTTAGTATATTTATATTCATATATATACCTATACAGAAATACTTCGTAAATAAAGGTACATTTAGCTAAAATTTTCCATTTCCCTATGTATGAACTTATGGCAACCTTTGGGACACCTCGTATATTAAACTAAAAAACTGCACAGCAAAGGAAACAATCAACAAAGTGAAGAGATAACCTACAGAATAGGATAAAATATTTGAAATTATTAATGACATAACCATATGACAAGTGGTTAATACCAAAAAATATACAAGAAACTTAAACACCTCAATAGCAGAAAAAAACAAATTTTAAATGGCCAAAAGACCTAAATAGACATTTCTCAAAAGAAGACATACAAATGGCCAAAAGATATGTAATGAAATACTCAACATCACTAATTGTAAGGGAAATGTAAATTAAAACCACCATGAGCTATCACCTTATCCCAGTTAGAATGGCCATTATAAAAAGACAAAAGATAGCAAGTGCTTTCAAAGATACAAAGACAGGGGAAGCCTTGCAAACTCTTAGCGGCATTTAAGCCACTGTGAAAAACAGTATGGAGGTTCCCCAGAAAGTTAAAACTAGAACTACCATTATGATTCCACAATTCTACTATCCAAAGGAATTGAAATCCATTATGTCCCAGAGATGTCGGCATTCCCATGTTTATCATAGCACCATTCACAATAACCAAGATATGTAATCAACCTAAGTGTTCATCAACAGGTGAATGGATAGAGAAAACGTGGCAGATACACACAATGGAATACTAGTTAGCTAACACTAGTAATAAAGACTGTCCTCCCAGCTGTGGACAACATGGACAAATCTAGAGAATATTATGTTAAATGAAATAAGCCAGGCACACAAAGACAAATACCATATTCTCTCACGCATATGTGAAGTCTAAAAAAGTTCATCTCCTAGAAATAGAAAGTAGAATGGTGGTTATCAGAGGCTGGGGTGGTTAGTGAGGAAGTGAGGAGGAGGGAATGGGAAGATGTTGGACAAAGGATACATAATTAAAGTTATACACATAGAGGAGGAATAAACTACAAGAGACCTGTAGTGTACATCAAGGTGACTATAGTTAATGGTGACATACTGTATTCTTGAAAAATATAGGGGAAAAAATGTAGAGGGTACAGGCAGCGCCTGTGGCTCAAAGAAGTAGGGTGCTGGCCCCATATACCAGAGGTGGCAGGTTCAAACCTGGCCCTGGCCAAAAACTGCAACAAAAAAAGAAAAAAAAAAAATGGAGAGGGTAGATGTTATGTGCTCTCATCACAAAAATAGCCATGTGGGGGCGGCACCTGTGGCTCAAAAAAGTCGAGCACTGGCCCCATATGCCAGAGGTGGTGGGTTCAAACCCAGCCCTGGCCAAAAACTGCAAAAAAAAAAAAAAAAAAAAAAAGAATAGCCATGTGAGGTAATATGTTTGTTAATTAGTTTGATTTAACCATTCTACAATGCATATAAACTTCAAAACATCCTTTGATATCTAATAAAAACAGACACATTATCTATTTTAAAACAATTTAAAATTTAAATTATTTAAAATTTAAAAACGTATAAAAATGAAATTTAAACATTTTTTAAACTAAAAAATTAACCGCCAAAAGGAAATCTTTTAAAAATCGAGACATCACATTAAACTGATGCTTGTGGATTGTTTATTGGCATCCCTAGTAAAGAATCCAGTCTGATTATCCAAAAGTAGAAAAATAAAAAAATTTAGTTACTTATGCTATTTTGAAGAATGTATTTATGCAAATGGAATTTTCTGCATTTGCAGTGTTAGAATTAAAATGAAGAAATCTATTATATACAGACTCCGATTTGAGCTATATATTCCTACAGTTATACCCATAATCAGTTATTTAATTTCATCAGAATATACAAGGCCTAACAATTAAGTTTGTGAACTTGCCACCATGTAGCACTGTAAAAACAGCTCAGTAAGGTTTCATAACCTTGGTATATCAGTGTCTCACATCAGTGTCTCTCAGCTGTGTTTGTACTGACATGCAGTGATGTCTTGCTAAATGGCCTTTATTATTGTTGTTGCACGTTATTGCTGTTGACCAGCTTTGATGGTTATTCAAGAAAAATAGTTCCAAAATTGCCATGAAGGGTGGCCTAGTCATCGGCGCCAGTTCATAGCTTCCCAAGGGGAGTACTTCAAAGGGAACCATAGGGATATTCAGTAATAAGGTATCTAGCACTTTCTCCAGATGAACTTAATCTTAATCGTCAGACCTTGTATCATCTAAAGATGGCTGGTGGAAAAGCAAGGCTTTCTGTTCTTAAAAAAGAACCAGAGTAAAAGTGACACTGGGAAAGAAAAAAAAAAGGTTTACTGCAATTTTTGAAGGAAGTATGTGGACGGTGAGTATGTGTAAAAAGAAAAGACCAAAAGAAGCAGGGAAAAAGAAAATCTGTGAGACTGTCAAAAAAGTAGTCGAAGAGTGGTGCCCTTTTACATACTGAGTTTCTCACCCCTACTCCATCACCTTGGACTGAGGACCTTCTATCCCAGCTAAGCACCAGTTCCTTACCCACCCACTGTGATGGCTTCATTCAACCACTCTTGTTAATTTCAGTTTCCTCTTTTCTTTATTTCATTTTACATCCGTTTTAGCTTTATTATTGTATAAATATATGAAGTTTATATTTATGTGCACATAGGCAAAAATACTTTAATTTAACATAGGAATTATTTTTCTTTAAAACGTCCTACCCCTATAGAATAGATCCTAAAAATAGGATCTATTTTTATTATACACACTGAGGGAGGCATACTGACAACATACAAAGACCGTGGATGATGTCATACAAAAAGAACATAAAACAAAGCAAAACAGAATCAGATCAGTTCCATACTAATCATGCAATCTCAGGTAAGACTCTTGAGCTCTAAGGCCTGTTCATATCCACAGGAGAAGACGCTGTGATCTGGCATTTGGGTCTTGATGTCACTTGTTCAGGAGATGCCTGTGGGCTGGACAGCATCAGCTTGAGAGGAGAGCCTTGCCCCACCCCATCTCTCCTGTTTCTGAGCCCACATCCTGTTCTTCAGTGGCCACAAAGTCAGTGCTTCCTCTTCATCCATGAAATGTGTTAACAGTGATCCTGATCAGCACTAGAGTAAAAGTGACACGGAGAAAATATAGATAAAAATACACTGGGAACCAGAAACTTTAAGACAAAGACCTCTGACCAAGCTGCCACTTGTAGGCTGAGTTTCATCATTTATATTTTTTTCCGATATTATTTTTATTTCAGATAAACATAAGTGCACATATGACTAGGTTTCATTGTTTGCTTTTGTTAGGTAACATCCCAGTTGTAGTTAAGTCCTTCACTCAGGAGATGTGCCATATACCCCTACACTGAATTTGTTAGGTCGGAGCTTACCAGGCCACTTTCACTACCTTCCCCCTCTGCTCTTCTTGAATTTAATTATGTTTTTCTCTTGTGTGGGCCTGTAATTGTTCATCTACTAGTTTCAAATTGCTATTGCATACAAGAAGGGCTTGATTTTTTATTCTTGAGATATTTCACTAAGGAGAATATTCTTCAACTCCATTCAGGTAAATATAAAAGATGTAAAGTTTCCATGTAGTTGAATGGTAATCCATGGTATTTATATAGCACAGGTTATTAATTTATTCACTGATTCATGTGCATTTGGGTTGTTCCTACATCTTTTCAATTGTAAATTGAGATGCTATACACATTCCAGTGCAAATATCCTTATGATAAAATGATTTTCTTGATTCTGGGTAGATGCCTAGCAATGAGATTGCAGAATCAAATGGAAGGTCTACTTTTAGCTCTTTGGGGATTCTCTATACCTCTTTCCAAAAAGACTGTAGTAGTTTGCAGTCCCACCAATGGTGTATAAGTATTCCCTTCTCTCCACACTCATGCCAGCATCTGCAACTCTGAGATTCTGTGATGTCGGCCATTCTTACCGGCATTACGTGATTTTAAAGTGGTTTTGATTTGCAGCATTTCTCTAATGATTAGGGATGATGGGCATTTATTCATGTGTTTGCTGGCCATTCATCTGTCTTCCTGGGAGAAGTTTCTGTTTTTATGTCTTGCCCAGTGATTAATTGGGTTGTTTGTTCTTTTCCTTTTTCTTCTTTTTTTTTTTTTCCCTTGAGGCAGAGTCTCACTCTGTCACCCAGGCTAGAGTGCTATTGGTATTATCATAGCTCACAGCAACTTCAAACTTCTGAGTTCAAGCAATCCTCCTGCCTCAGCCTCCCGAGTAGCTGGGACTACTGGTGCCCAGTTAATTTTTCTATTTTTAGTAGAAATGGGGGTCTCACTCTTGCTCATGCTGGTCTCAAACTCCTCACCTCAAGTGATCCTCCCACCTTAGCCTCCCTCAGTGTTCGGATTACAGGCGTGAGCCACCATGCCCAGCCTGTTTTCTCTTTTGTTGATGCTCTCTTTGAGTTAGTTGTACATTCTCTTCATTTATTTTTAAGTCAAAGGCAGTATTGAATGATTGCCCTTGATCTGAAGTGAGGAAGAGGGGCTGTTTTCCCTTGGAGGAGGCAATGAACCAGCCAGGGAAGGCCACAGACTCGAAGGTGGAGGTCCTTCCAGTCTTGACACGGTAGAAAAGAAAGGGCTTCACGGGCTCGGCTTGGTAGTACAGTTCCATGATCTTCTGCTCCTAAAATGTGAGTGAGAATATCCATGAGGAGAAATAGAAGTTGTTTGAGATGTTTAAAGTTATTTGCACATGACCAACAAAAGTTCCAAAGTTCCAGAAAGCCTTGGAAGCAGGCTAGAAAAACACACTTCAAAGAAGCAACAGAGTGAAGACCCATGAAATTTCACCTTCCCTGCCTCCACCTGTAAATGCAGAGATGGCGTGGGAAGGATACAAGGGACCATTTAATGAACAAATGGCCACACTTGAACAATAAATTGGGATTCTCCTCACATAAGACACTGAGGAATGACCTGGGAAAGGAAACAGGATGCAAATTGGCAGCAAGAAGCCCAGGATCTCCCTTACCAATGCCACAGCAATGAGAGGCTCTACCCTCCAAGAATAATTGCTATAGCAAAGGACAGCCAGGTAGGGGTATGAGCCTCTGACCAGTTGCCAAAAATACAAGAAAGATAAAATATGATGACAAAGACACAAGAGGTCTAACAAATCAAATGATTTGCACCAAAGGACCAAAGTAAATAAAGCAATCAAAAAATTCCTTCTATATTTTATACAGAAATATGTTTTGTGTGTATGTTTATATTATATGTGCATATATAGTATATATAGGTAAAATAGGTATTTCTTTTTTTTCTTGAAACCGTCTCACTCTGTCACCTTGGATAAAGTGCTTGATGTCATAGCTCACAGAAACCTCAAACTCTTAGGCTCAACCAATTCTCTTGCCTCCAGCCTCCCAAGTAGCAAGTAGCTGGGACTATAGGCACCTGCCACAATACCCAGCTAGTTTTTCTTTTTAAGTAGAGATGGGGGTCTCACTCTTGCTCAGTCTCAAACTCTGAGTTCAAGCAATCCACCTGCCTCAGCATCCCAGAGTGCTCAGATTACAGGTGTGAGCCCCCACCAACCAGAATAAGGGCATTTCTAAAGAGATTACATCTATGCAAGATCTCAAGAGAGAGATAGAAATAGTCTTTAATTCAGCCACATTCTATACTCAGCGGGAGAATTCTCCTTCCATAGGGTTCCTTTACATAGTTAATGGCTTCCAGTTAATCAATCTAATTCTTTGGGTTAGAAACCCAAGAGTCATCCTTACTGCTTCTTCCTTTGGTTCCCTAACATGTAACCTAGAGGCAAGGCCAAAATATTTTCTGAGCTTTTCAAAATATTTCCTGAGCTGAGACACTTCTTGTACCTTACCCACACACACTGCCAACCCCCAAACCAAGACATCACCAACTCTCACCTAGACACTTAGGATGACCTTCCAATTATTATTCTTGAACCTGCTCTACCCTCTACAAATTCACAGTGCCATCCTCAGCTTCAACATCTTACTTACTGGGAAAACTGAAACAATAAGGAGAGGACTTCCTCAAACACCCACAACATAGCTCCCAGAACATCACACCCGCACCTTCCTGTCTGAGAAGGTCTGGGTGGGCAGTCCCACCTGCACTCACCAACTTAAAGGCATTCATCTCTCCCTGCTTTTCTGAGCTCCAACAGTTTTGCTTGGTTTACACAATCACTTCCATTGGCATACTGCTATCATTTCTACCCTCTTAAAAAAATAACAGCTTTGATTTCCTACCACCACTCCCAGTGCCCCTTTGCAAAATTCCTTACAATAACTGTCTATATTTTCTGTCTCTGATTTCTTGCTTGTAATTCCTCTCTTTAAACTCACACCACCCAGGCTTTTGCCACTATACCGACATTGCCCTTACCAAAGTCCCCAATAACTCACACATGCTCCATCTGAGCACTAAGACACACCAGAAGAGCAGTTAGTCCAGTCAATAGAACAAAGCAGAGAGTGTCAGTCTGTCCTCATTTTAAGGGTCACACTCTGTCAGTAAATCCTACTGTTTCCACTTAAAATACTTCCAGAATCTGATCCATTTCTCCCCACCTCTGCTACTATCCCCAACCGTCAAATCACACCTAAATCACTTCACACCCTCCTAAAAGATTTTCACACTTGCCCTACCATCTATGATCAATTAGGAGCTAGAGTGATCCTTTTAGAGCTAAGTCCTCTCACATCAATCTTCTGTTCAAAACATTCTAAAAGTTTTTCATTTCACTCAGATTTCAAGGCGACGTCCTTACAGACAATGGAAGTCATTGTCTTCTTTTATCTCACTGGACTCCTCTTTCCTTGATTCACTCCTGCACACCTGTTCTCATTGAATATCCTGCTAGAGAACTTTTTGTGCCCTCTGCTTTCCACGACCACCCTGCTGTCACAAAGACGCCCACTATGCCACCCACTCTTGACCCCTCTCTGTTTCTAGCACTGCTCTAATTGTTCTTTCTCGGAGCCATGGCACTCTTCAACATGACACAAATTTACCAACTGTTACATTTATTGTTTGTGGTTTCTCTCCTCCCACTAGAATCCAACCCATGCAGTCAGGGCCATTTGCCATTCGGTACACAGGTGTATCTCAAGTGCCCACACAGTGCTGGAGACCAGCAAGTACCCACATGTTTGCTGAATTGAATTGAATTGAGTAGAATTGAACTGAATTAAACAGAAGTTTACAGAATAAGACCAGACAGTCATTAAAAAATAGAAGAAGAACCAATTAGAAAGCTTGGGGATTAAAATAGTAAAGATTAAGATTTTAGGAAATGCTATATAAGGTGATTTAGAAGACAAGAACTGTAATCATGAGCTAGAAGAACAAACTGAGAAATTCTCCCAGAGTGCAGCACCAAGATTAAAAAAATAAAATGAAAGGATAGAAAGTAAGGAAAATTAGATGAGATATTGTCAGATATTGACGTGAGATCCAGAAGTTATAGTGACAGATGAACAGGAATCCCAGAAGGAGAACAAGGAAGAGAATAAATACACTTGCAAAAATAATGCTAAGAATTTTTCAAAATTTCAAAAAGATAGGTGTCCTCAACTAGTGAATGGCAGGATAAATTAAAGAAAAGTCTATTGCATGCATGTAACTCGAAAGGAGCTAGGCATAAACATGCTTAGGAAAATGAGGAACTGGACATAGTGGCTCGTCCCCGTAATACCAGAAACTTGGGATGTTGAGGCAGGAAGATCGCTTGAAGCCAAAACTCCACCTGGACAACCTGGCAAGAACTTGTCTCTTAAAAAATAATAATAAAAATTATCTAAGTGTGATGGCATGGACCTGTAGGCCCAGCTACTCAAGAGGCTAAAGTGGGGGGATTTTTTGAGCCCAGGAGCTCAAGTGTGCAGTGAGCTGTGATCATGCCACTGCACCTCAGCCTGTATGACAAAGAAAGACCACATCTATAACCACCCCCCCAAGAAAAGAAAGGAAAAGAAAACTTAAAACAGTAATACTCTTTCTTAATTCTCAAATTAGATATTCTGCCAAATACTTCTATAAGTAAAATTGGTGGTTTTTTCCACATCATTCTTCTTAATCACTCACCTTCAACTTCAGGGTGGGCTGTCCCCCAGCATCCTCACAAAACAGACACATTTCTGGATTCCGGATTCCCAAATAAATGGGATCCCCTTTTCCTTGCTCAAGAGCCTCCGGATATTTGCATGTGATAACAGTGACAGTGACTATAAAGATGAGGACAGATGGTGTCAGTTTCCTTCTGAATTCAAAAAATACTGTGGGGTGGCACCTGTGGCTCAAAGGAGTAGGGCGTTGGCCCCATATACCACTGGTGGTGGGTTCAAACCCAGCCCCAGTCAAAAATTGCAAAAAAAAAAAGAGAGAGAGAGAAACAAAAAATACTGTGAGTGAGCAGGGCAACATTGTCCAAATGAGTCTGGAAGAGACCTGAAGAACATAATCCCTGCTACCCCAGCTCCCCTCCCCTAAATGGCCAGCTATCATATACATTTGTTTATTAACTTATCCATTCATACTGTGTGCCAACCACAGAGAGTTTAAGAGATTACACACCTGGCTTTTGTGATTTTCACACTTCTGCTTGAACACCTGCAGATGGGAAGCCCCTACATGAAGCCACTCTTGTGATCCCTAGAGAGCTCTGTCTATTAGCAAGATGTGCCTAATGTGATATTAAAATCTATCTTCCTGGGTTACTCATCCACCTAGTCCTTTCAGAACTCCTTGAGGTCATGCAGAACAAGTCACTCCTCTTTCATAAAAGGACTTCACATCCCTGAAAGCAGCTCTCCTATTCCACAGGAGGCTCTTATCCCATCTTTAATTTCTCTACCCTAGTCTAAGATGAACGTCACCCTGACTTCTTCTCCCAGGCAGGTGTGAAACTCCCACACTCTAGGTGGGCCCCATTGCAAAGACACACTTTCACAAAAATGCTTGTACCAGCATCCCAGCCACACAAGTTCAAGGGGCAAGGGCCCCACAAGATGACCACTCACCTGGAACTACACCATCACTCCAAGGAACCACCACAAGGGTCTCACCCTGCAAGACCCACACCTGCTGACTCAAATCGCTGATGTTCCCAAGCACAGGCGTTGCGACTTTTTGGATGAAAATAAGGAATTAGGAAACATAATAATCAAGACATCTATGCTAGGAGAAAAGTCATCTAATCCAGGCCTTTCAGTAAAGAAGGTCTGGGCTTGACACACCAAAACTGGCAGCATTCATATCACCCATCAGCCTAGCCTTCCTTTCCAGCAAAGTTGTGGGCTCTGATGAGGAGGGCAAGGGCTACCAAAAGAGGTCATTGGTAATTACAGAGCAGGTATTAAAGCCTCATGGTAAATATGTGTCAAGGCCCAGCTACTGTCTTCTCTGCCTGCTCAGTACTTGGCCCAATGCTGGGGACTGGGGCTAGATCAGTGCCTAAGCAAGAGTCCCCACCCACCAGAAGCCCAAGGTCCAGCAGCAGGTGGATAGTAGGAGGGGCTATGTACAGAAGAGCAGAGAATGCTGGGGTATTCAAAGGAGATAGCTGTGAGGGTCCCATCCACTCTCACCAGCCTGATGGGTTGACTCGCTTTTATTGTCTTTCATAGTAAGGTTGTCTCTGCACCTGTGAGGACAGATAGGAGAGATGAGCCACAGGAGATGTCTTTGAGGCCATCCAGGATACTAGGAAGGCCTCATCCCTCATGCCAGGTCCTCATCCCTCATGCTAGACAGGGAGATGGGAAACCTGGCCTGACGTGACTTGGGTCAGAAGATGTGAGCTACATCTAATACAAAACTTCAAGGCAGCTTCAGGGAGAGAAATCAGGCAGAATTTTCCTCCACCCAGAAGGCCAGCTTATGATAGTATCTTCCCTAGGATTCAGGGCCAGCCAGGAATTTTGACCTTAAATACCACCACCACCCCCAGGCCACTAATGCCAGTGTTTCCTCATCCCAAGGGCCTCCTTCCCATGATGGGCATTGTTTCTCCCTAGAAGCAAGCAAGGGTCCCATGCAAGGGTAGCTCTGCCAGGATCTCAGCAACGCCCCAGTGAGAAACAGCCCCACACAGAACAAGGCACAGAGAGGGCCTGGCATTGCCCCTCCCCTCCCTTCCTTGAACCCCAAAGCACAGAAAAGAGGGATAGATCCAGAGTCAGAAAGCTACCCAGCTATCAGCTGCACCTGGTAAGGAAGGGCCTTTATCAAAACCAGCAGGGTGAATTGCAGCTTCAGCAGGTCCCAATATTTATGCTCAGCTGTGACAGACCTGGGTCATTTATTTTGAGAGGAACAGAGAGGGAGGCCCCAGCTTTCTGAGTGGGTGTGACAAATGGACAGACAGCCTGGAAGAAAAACCGGTTCCTCCTGCCAGAAGATCCTCTGAGGTTCAGGTGAAGAAATCCCAGAATGAGCAGGCATATGACCTATCCAGGCTCCCTGAGAAATGAGTGCCAAGCCAAGCCCCATGAGTCCCAAGTACCACAAGGAAAAAGGGATGGTGACAGATAATACATTTCTCAGAAGGGGGAGAATAAGGGACTTCCCCAGAGCTCAGTTCTTCTGCCATGTCACTCTGGGGTTGGAACTAGAAATGTCTGATGCCCTCACGTCAGAGACTTACTCTCCTGAGACTGGGAGCCTTGCCCTGTAGAGTCATTCCAAGGGCATCCTGTAAGAGCAGAATTAGCTATGTGCTTCAGGCAGGGTCCCTATGGCTGGCATGTCTGGCCATCGAGCTGCCCCACCTAAGGCCACACCTGAGTGGAGGGCCAGGCAGAAGAGCTCCTCAGAGATTCATCCTTACCCTCCTATGGAGCCATGGGGACTGAGCAGATTGCTCTTTTCACTGAGGCAAGTATGATCTCAAGTACCTTCCAAAATACAGTGGACTCCAGAATTGCTTAAGGGCCAGAAAAGTCGGCAGTGGTTTCTTTAAAAATTGAGCCCCATGGCTTGGCACTCGTAGCACAGTGGTTATGGCACCAGCTACATACATGGAGGCTAGCATGTTCAAACCCAGTCCAGCCTGAGCCAGCACAAGACCTCATCTCTAAAAATAGCAGGGCATTGTGGTGGGTGCCCATGGTCCCAGATACCTGGGAGGCTGAGGCAAGAGAATCACTTGAGCCCAAGAGTTTGAGGTTGCGGTGAGCTGTGATGCCACAGCACTCTACTGAGGGTGACCAAAGTGAGACTCTTTCTCAAACAAAACAAACAAACAAACAAACAAAAAACTGAGCCCAAATCACTCTACCAGACTTTAGGCTATACTACAAGGACATAGTTATCAAAACACCATGGCATTGGCACAAAAATAGAGATATAGACATTTGGAACCATGCTAACATCTCACAGCCACCTGATCTTTGATAAACCAAATAAGAACATACACTGGGGAAAAGAATTCCTATTCAATAAATAGTACTGGGAGAACTGGATAACCACAGGTAAAAGACTGAAACTGGACCTGAACATTTCACCATTTACAAAAATTGATACAAGATGGATAAAAGATTTAAATCTAAGGCATGAAACAATAAAAATCCTCAAAGAAAGTGTGGGGAAAACACTTGGAAATATAGGTCTGGGGAAAGATTTTATGAAGAAGACTTCTGTGGCAATTGCTACAACAAAAACAAACAAATGGGACTTAATTAAACTGAATAGCTTCTGTACAGCTAGGGAAACAACAACCAAAGCAAATAGACAACTTCAGAATGGGAAAATATGTTTGCATCTTATGAATCAGACAAAAGCTTGATACTAGGATCTACAGAGAACTCAAATTAATCAGCAAAAATATACCTAACAATCCCATATGTCACTGGGCAAGAGACATGAACAGAACCTTCTCTAAAGAAGACAGACAAATGGCTAACAAACATATGAAAAAATGCTCATCACTCCTAATAATCAGAGAAATACAAATCAAAACCACCCTGAGATATCACCTAACCTAACCCCAGTAAGAATGGCCACATCACAAAGTCTCAAAGCTGCAAATGTTGGTGTGGATGTGGAGAGAAGAGAACACTTTTACACTGCTGGTAGGACTACAAACTAATACAACCTTTTTGGAAGGAAGTATGGAGAATCCTCAAAGAACTCAAACTAGACCTCCCATTTGATCTTGCAATCCCATTACTGGGCATTTACCCAGAAGAAAAAAAATCATTTTATCATAAGGACATTTGCACTAGACTATTTATCACAGCTCAATTTACAATCACCAAATTGTGGAAACAACCTAAATGCCCACCAATCCAAGAATGGATTAACAAGCTGTGGTATATGTATATAATGGAATACTACTCAGCCATTAAAAGAGATGGACACTTTATATCTTTTGTACTAACCTGGATTGAGGTGGAACACATTCTTCTTAGCAAAGCATCACAAGAATGCGGAAGCAAGAATCCAATACACCCAATTCCAATATGAAGGCAGTAGATGACCTAATACATGCTGGGGGATAGGGGGATGGGGGATGAAGGATGAGGAGAAGGGAGGAAGGAGGGGATTAGGGGGGTCGTGGTGTATAGCACACTTCTTGGGAGTGGGACACAATTATAAGAGGGACTTTATCTAACCAACACAATCAGTGTAACCTCTTTGAACCCTCAGTGTATCCCAAACAATAAAAAGAAACTGAGCTCCATACCCTACTTTATCCCCCACCCTCTAATCTAGTAATGCAGGACATTTATAGGTTCCTGAATTAAGCATCAATGGTTATTTTTTTATATCATGTTTATACACCCCATCCCATCTGTTATAATCAAGCATAAAAATTTGCTGAGGCACAAGTTAACTTTAAGAGGTGGACTTGAAGCACCTACAGCTTCCTAGTCACTTATCTGTAAGAAGGAAAATCACAGAGACCAAGAACAAGCTTTCTAGATAAGCTCTTCCATGATTCCGTCTTCCCAGCTCTTGAAAGCAGCTACTTGCCCAGCTTCTCCTACTCTGCACCGCCATCTCCTTTCTGGCCTTGGAGGAACATGGTCCTTCCCTGCTGATGTTCCCAAACTGTCACTTTTGGCTTCCAGTTGATCTGTTACCCTAGGAGAGTGTGATCATGAATTCAGATATACTTTTCTTCAAAGTCAGGCTTAGCTAGCATCCCCTCCCCAAGCCCCACGGATCCCTGAACAGTTAAAGGCCCTCTGTTACATATCAGTCAGCTTCTCCCTTTGTTGATATGCTCACCAAAAGATAGCATCTAGAAGTCTTCATCCTCTGACCCCCAAATCCCTTAGGCCTCTATTTTATCCAGGATGTGGTTTGAAAATAGAACCCACACTAGGAATTGCACACAAAGGGAACTGAATACAAGCAATTGGGTACACCTATGTTGGAAGACCAAAGAGTAAAAAGGAATTGCTGTGGTATCCTAAATAGTAGAAAGGAAGGAAACAACAACAATAAAAAAAACCCTAGTAGCTCAAAGGAGGGATTTAGTAGGACCGATGCCCTAAGGAATTGGGGGGAAGGGTTCTCTGCCAAATGGATGCTCAGACCTCTGAAAAGAGAGCCCAATCTGGTGGCTGCGTGGACCATGAAGGTGGAGGGAAGGGGTCAACAAGGAGAAGCTCCAAAGTTCCAAGGGATACCTAAATATGCAGTTTCACTGAATCAAAAGCCTATGGGTATAACTGGAATTTTCCACACCTTGATGAAGGTTGCAAAAGTGTATACAGTATGGTGACATGTATCCCCTTTAGCCTCAGCCTCTAATTTCACTTATTGCCTTGCAGCTCTCAGAGAATCCAGCCCTTCCTAGTATTCCCAGCACTCCACACCCACCTTGAAGTCCCAATTTACATTTGAGTGTGAATCAGTGTCAGAAAAGTTAGAGAGAATAGAAGTGATAGGACGGGGTAATAAATGAAGAGCAGAGAGCCCAACTCTAAAGAAATGGCCCAGAAGGCAGCACCTGTGGCTCAAGGAGTAGGGCGCTGGCCCCATATACCAGAGGTGGTGGGTTCAAACATGGCCCCAGGCAAAAACCGCTGGAAAAAAAAAAAAGAAGAAGAAGAAAGAAAGAAAGAAAAGAAAAAGAAAAAGAAAGGGCCCAAGACATTTATCTTAAAGTAGAAGAGATGACCATTATGATTATATGATACTTTTCATGTACTTTAAGAGACCATCAATATTGATACTGATCATAAAAAGAAAGAATTTAGTTTTATAATGTTAATATAATCCTGTTGCCAGATTCTTTCTATTAAAATTTTATT